CGATTTGTTATTCCACTTTTTCGTGCGTTCAGTGGTTGATTCTCCTATGTGCCCTGTTGCCACCTGTCACGTTCTATGTAACTTCTGACAAATGAAGAAGTGAAATTAGAGTGCGACCCAGCACAGAGCTGACAAGAGGAAGCGACTTCTTCTCTGAGCGAAACAAGCCATGAAGCCTGATATTCCTGCACAGGGGCAAGCAGCCCAGACCCGCTCAGAGCAAACGCTTTCACCTTTAACAAACCACCTTCCCAGGCGAGACCAGACCTCCAGACACCCGAGCTGTTGTTGAATGAGTTTTAGTTTTAGTTTAGCAGGATGTGAAGGATCGGGCGTGTATCCGTGGCGCCAGTGAACGGCACTTCAAAATGGGTAAGAGGGTATGTTTGACGTTATGTGCTCTTAACCACTTTTTTTAAACCACTTTTTTTAAAAATAGCAAAAACAACACAGCTGGTATAGCTCAGTGGTTGAGCATCAACCTATGAACCAGATCATGGTTCAATTCCCAGTTGGAGCACATGCCCGGGTTGCGGGCTCCACCCCTAACAGAACCATGACCTCCTGGTTCCTGGGCCGACGCTCAGCCATGGAGCCACACCGACTGGGCACAAACTTAACCCTTTTAAACTGAACAAGTCAGAACACTCACCATGTTCAGCCTCCCTCTCCAGTTCCCCAACTTTCTACCCCCAAACACATCCCTGTCCCCCTTCCACACTTACGGCCATTCCGCCCCGGCCGCCTGTCCCAGGCAACCCCCACCTGCTTTCTGTCTCCATAGACTTGCCAATTCTGGACATTTCAGATCCGTGGACTCACGCAAATGTGGCCTGTGGCTCCGCTTATTTTTAAGGAATGAAGTCTGAGGGACACGTTTGGAGACTGGGCTGAAGCCCAGAAATCATAAAGGCTTTTAAAAAAAACAACGAAGGATGTTTCCAAGAGGTAGTAAGACAACCTTGTCAAGAACTGGAGGAAGGGGTGCGGTATCTCAGGGGGAGGAGAGGAGAGAGGCTGTGATGCTCGGCCGCCTCCTCACGCCCCCTTGTGGCTGGTAAAGCCTTGGAGAGCAGGACGCGCCCATGTAGCCAGAAGATGATGCGGGTTTGGAGCCATGGACCTTGCACTTCGGTTGTATAACTATTACCCAGGGTCCCCCCCCTCCCCCCGCCATGCACCGTCACCCCCTGGACCTGCAGAAACGGGGTGACCACTGGATGGCTCATCTCCGAGACAACACTTAGAAACCCTCCCCAGTGGGAGACTCCGACCGTCTCGGTTTCTGCACCTAAACTCCTAGACACCTTTCCATGCCTTGTCCCCGCGCACATCACTTTTTTTCCATTTTAACCATTTGCAAGTGTATATCTCTGAGGCATCAAGAAGACCGTTGTAACTCTAGCTGGTGTGGCTCAGTGGATAGAGCTTCGGCCTGTGGACTGAAAGGTCCCGAGTTTGATTCTAGTCAGGGCACATGTTTCCATCCCCGGCGCGGAGGCAACCAATAGATGTGTGTCTCTCACATCAGTGTTTGTAGAGACAAACATGTCTCTCCCCCTCCCTTCCACTCTCTCTCTAAAATTCAATGGAAAAATATCCTTGGATGAAGATTAACAAAAACATAAAAATAAAAATAAATTTTTAAAGGAGGAAGTAAGGAAAGATCCGGAGGAACAAATTACTTGCTCAATTACAACCGCTTGGGGGCGCTGCCGGCCTCCTGGCTAAAGCAGCCTGTCCAGCTGCTCCCTCTCCCGGCGGAAGTGAACACTGCAGACTAAAATGACCCCGAGTCCAAGGGCCCTGCCCATCTGCAAGCAACACCTCCAGCAGAGCCGTCTGTGTGCCTCGGCGAGGGATTTGCTGTACCTCCAGACAAAACACAGAGAGAAACACTTTCAACAACTTACAAGCCACACATTTGCCTTCAGGGCTCACACCGCTGCGTTTACGTCCGCGCGCCCTCAGCACTGCTGTTGACTCGACAGGACTCCCCGCGGCAGAACCCTGGTCAGGTCATTGCTGATAGGCTCGCATCTGCGGGTGGAGGGCCCTGTCACTGTTCATAGGGATGGTGTTGTCCTGGCGGCTTTCTTTGCTGTTGAGAAAATGACATCAAAGGTGTTTGCCTTTATTCAAAATGGAAGGTTAGAACTGTCAAAACTACTGAAGACGTAAGCAAGCAGGTGCATTATGCTGCCTCCCATGTGAGGGGCTGCTGTCTGCGTGTGCCAAGGACATGCTGGGCGCGTGCAGGTCTTTTCATTCTACGTTCCTGTAAGCTTTCTACATATCCCAAACGCGGGAAAGCATTCCTTTTCAAAGAACTAAAGGAAATACGAGACAATAACCAATACAGTAATCGTTACTTAGTTACAAAAATAAGTTCTAAGGCTGATTTTTTAAAACATGGACGCTCCACAAATGTCCGCGTCACCCTTCGCAGGAGCCGTGCTGACCTCTGCACCTCCCCCTGTAGAGAACGTGCCGCCCAAGCGGGCGAAGACCAGTGACTTCTCGTGATTCCCAGGGACCTTGCAGTCAGATGCCCCTGGCACCAGCACCAAAGCAGCAGCCACCTGGGCACGCTGGTAGACGGGCTAGGTACACCGTAAGGCGACCATCCAGTGGGCCACTAGCAAGAATGGGAACAAGGAGGTAGATCGAGATGTGCTGGTTGGGAAAATGTCCTGAATTAGCTAGTTTAGGAAAAAGCTGGTGGTGCCATGCAGTCAAACCCTGTGATGTGTGATAGGGCTGTAGAGTTTGGTGACATGTAAATAGTGTGTAAAGCAAGTTTTTATGGTTAAGAAAATTTGTTGAATTTTCTGACTTAAAGTTGAAACTTAACATGAAGAGAGAATATACTCTTTCCATGGGCTGTTTTTAAAAACTGTTGTGAATGATCCTATTTGTGTGTGTGTGTGTATTATGGTATATATATTACACAGGGGGTAAACCCAAAAAAGTGCAACTTTAATTAAAAGTAATCACTGAAATTTAAAAAAATCAATACTCTCAAAAAAAAAGCAATCACTGAGAAGTAAAAATGGCTAACTCAGGAATTTAGATGGGTTATCTTTGAATTTATAAAACACACACAATATATGTATATATTATAAATAACGAGGCAAATATATTCCTAACTCGTTCTTTCCTGGGAATAAGCTTGTATTCAACTCTTTCTACATCTGGTTTTTAATGTGTTTGCATTGGTTTTTCTATTATCATCAGCAATTCCTTTCACACTTGCCCGGAAGCTGCACTTCAAGGAGCCAAGTGTTTGAGCGCCCCCCAGCCCTGAAACACCCCCAGCTTTATTAGGCTAATGCTCTAGGGCAGGGGTCCTCAAACTACGGCCCGAGGGCCACATGCAAATACAAATATTGTATTTGTTCCCATTTTGTTTTTTTACTTCAAAGTAAGATATGTGCAGTGTGCATAGGAACTTGTTCATAGTTTTTTTTAAACTATAGTCCGGCCCTCCAACGGTCTGAGGGACAGTGAACTGGCCCCGTTTAAAAAGTTTGAGGACCCCTGCTATAGGGCGCCAATGCCCAGACCCTTCCAGCTCTGGGGAAGGCAGGCAGGGTCTCCACTTATCTTAAGGATTCAGGCTGCCACGAGATGACCAGCCACATTTTTTCAACTGTTAGTAGCCACCGACCCACTTGTACCCAGACTCTAAAATGCCTAGTCAACACTTAGGAACTTTGCAATGCCTGTCCTGCAGTGGTTATTTTCAAGAAGCAACTGGTTTTTATTTTCTGTTATGGCCCTTCATTTTACACACACACATTTCAGAGGGGGAGACAGAAACATCATTGAAGAGAACCATCCATCCGTTGCCTCCTGCATGCCCCCTACTGGGGGTTGAGCCCACAAACCAGGACCATAATTGAACCCAGGACCCTTGTCCGCAGGCCAAGGCTCTATCCACTGAGCCAAACCAGCTAGGGCCCTTCATTCTGTAATGAACATCAAAATTACACAACTCGCCCTAACCGGTTTGGCTCAATGGATAAAGCGTCAGCCTGTGGACTGAAGGGTCCCAGGTTTGATTACAAACAAGGGCATGTACCTTGGTTGCAGGCACATACCCAGTAGGGAGTGTGCAGGAGGCAGCTGATCGATGTTTCTAACTCTCTATCCCTCTCCCTTCCTCTCTGTAAAAAATCAATAAAAAATGTATTTAAAAAAAGATATTACACAACTCCCAATGTGACTCCAAGTGGTTACAGGTGCGGTGGGGTTCCTGAGGATCTTGTGACATTGCTCAACTTACATGACTTGCAGTGAGCCACGGAAATTCACTGATATATGCATTACCTACTTACGTCAACATAGTGAGAAACTCGCCAGAATGGATTTGCCTACAACTTCTGGATTTTTCAAAAGGCATTTCCTAGTTATACTCCCCTAAATCTAGGACTTAAACCTGTTGACTTCAGGTATTTTATGATTAGCAAGTGAAAACATCAATTTTCCTCTACACCATGAGGACTAGTGCTCTTTGGAGACCAGACTTCATTCACAACCAGTTATATAGAAACTCTGCACAACCAGTTATATAGAAACTCTGCATCTGCTGTTACATGAAATTGAATAATATTGAATCTTTATTATATTTCAACCAATAGATTTAATTCTCTAAATAACCACTAGCATAATGCGTAACATTACCTTTCTTTCAAAATCTGGTCAAAGAACCTTCTATATGCAACTTTTGATTTTAAAAAGAGCTACGTATTTTAAAATTGATTTCTACTGTATGTTCCCTTCAACCAATCCCATCTTTTTTTAATTTCCTTGCTGGTATTCCAAAAACTTTCTTCATTCTCAGGTACCCAACACTATGCCCAAACTCAGTATCTGAGTCAGTAGTTTACTATACCTCCTTACTACAAAATTACGTTAGTCTAAAAATCTTGATCCCTCACACCCCCCCCAAAATAAAAATAACCTTACTTAGCACTGATAAAAAAAGATGACACTACTTGGGAATGCAACAACTTTATTGAAAGTGCAATTTAAATTGGTTGAAAGCTTAAAAGGGATTAACTTAGACACCCCCTCTCAAGCGCAGGACCAGGTGCAGAGTGGACTCTTTCTGGATGTTGTAGTCGGACAGGGTGCGCCCGTCTTCCAGCTGCTTGCCGGCGAAGATCAGCCGCTGCTGGTCTGGGGGGATGCCCTCTTTGTCTTGGATCTTGGCCTTGACGTTCTCGATGGTGTCACTGGGCTCGACCTCGAGGGTGATGGTCTTGCCGGTCAAGGTCTTCACGAAGATCTGCATCCCACCTCTCAGGCGCAGGACCAGGTGCAGAGTGGACTCTTTCTGGATGTTGTAGTCGGACAGGGTGCGCCCGTCTTCCAGCTGCTTGCCGGCGAAGATCAGCCGCTGCTGGTCTGGGGGGATGCCCTCTTTGTCTTGGATCTTGGCCTTGACATTCTCGATGGTGTCACTGGGCTCGACCTCGAGGGTGATGGTCTTGCCAGTCAAGGTCTTCACGAAGATCTGCATCCCACCTCTCAGGCGCAGGACCAGGTGCAGAGTGGACTCTTTCTGGATGTTGTAGTCGGACAGGGTGCGCCCGTCTTCCAGCTGCTTGCCGGCGAAGATCAGCCGCTGCTGGTCTGGGGGGATGCCCTCTTTGTCTTGGATCTTGGCCTTGACGTTCTCGATGGTGTCACTGGGCTCGACCTCGAGGGTGATGGTCTTGCCGGTCAAGGTCTTCACGAAGATCTGCATCCCACCTCTCAGGCGCAGGACCAGGTGCAGAGTGGACTCTTTCTGGATGTTGTAGTCGGACAGGGTGCGCCCGTCTTCCAGCTGCTTGCCGGCGAAGATCAGCCGCTGCTGGTCTGGGGGGATGCCCTCTTTGTCTTGGATCTTGGCCTTGACGTTCTCGATGGTGTCACTGGGCTCGACCTCGAGGGTGATGGTCTTGCCGGTCAAGGTTTTCACGAAGATCTGCATTGTCTGTTAGAACAAAAAGATGAAACAACAAAAAAAAAGAACCGGAGAGTTTAGCAGGCAATTCACCCATGAACACATTCCTAAGTCAACACATTCCTAAGGCTAAGTGTCATTTTTTTATTGGCCCAATGGCTAAGATAAACACTTGCCTAGGGCAAGGAACCAAAAAAAACCCCAACTTGCCCTGACGGGTTTGGCTCAGTGGGTAGAGCGTCGGCTCGCGGACTGAAGGGTCCTGGGTTGGGTTCCGGTCAAGGGCATGTACCTTGGCTGGGGCACATCCCCAGTAGGGGGCGTGCAGGAGGCAGCTGATCGATGTTTCTAACTCTATCCCTCTCTCTTACTCTCTAAAAAAATCAATTAAAACAAAAAAAAATTGCCTAACACAACACAGATCACGTATATAGACATGGACACTGAAAACCCACACAGCGTCACTAACCAGTGTCACCCCGATACATTGAGAAAGGGAAACCTGCCCACACACCCTCAGAAAGGGGACCGGAACCGGAACCTTCCTGGCGAAGTCAACCCCTGCGCCGGGCGCTCAGCAGAGAAGGGCAGGGAGACTGGCCCCGAGGACGATCCTGGCCGCCCGTCCGCCTCCGTCAATTGAGCCCAGGCCCCAGCCCTGCGTCCCGCCGTCGGGGAAGGGAACCCTAGCGCCCCCCCCCCCCC